AATAATAATAACATACGAAATCCCTTAGGAATAATTATATACTAGTCCTTGGAAGAGAAAAATTAAATAATTTCTCAGGTTTTTAATTCTCAAAACGATTGAGGTTATTCAAGTAACATGTAAATTTAAAGATTTTTTTGAAAATTGAATTAGACGCAGGCGACGTCATTACGTTTTCAGTGAGTAACGTCAAAGATATTTTTGGAACACCTCACTAAAATGCTCATAAAATACCGAAAAAGTGAGATATTTTCAAATTTTATGTATATTTGCATTCAGGAAGAGTCCGGCTATCAAAATTTACCAAAAAGTCAATTTGTGAAAATTTGACCTTAAGGGCCCTTTTCTCGTGACGGCAGTCAATACGTTTTTTTTTCAATTCGCATCTCTTAATGACTGGAAGTACTGACGACGACGTCCTGGTTAGTATCTATTACGATCTATAATCCCTGAAAGTTTCATCTTGATATCTTTTACCGTTCTTGAGATAATCCGAAGACAAAATGTCATTTTAAAATCAGGAAATGTCCCATTACTTGGCACCGGAAGCGAATTTCCAAAAAATCTCTCGGATTAAATAACTTCAGATAATAATACATTGTTACCATAAATTTCATGAAAATCCACCCAGTAGTCTTCGAGAAATCGCGTGCAAAAAATTAGATGGGCGGAAAAATAATAATAATAAGAAGAAGAAGAAGAAGAAGAAGAAGAAACAGTAGAATCCCTATAAGGTCTTCCGTGAAGACGGAAGATCTTAATAATAATAAGAAACAGTAGAATAACTATAAGGTCTTCCGTGAAGACGGAAGACCTTAATAATAATAAAAAACAATAGAATCACTATAAGGTCTTCCTTGAAGACGGACGACCTTAATAAGAAACTAGATATGAAACTCGTTGCGAGCAACGAGAGGTCTTCCGTCCGATTCCTGAAAGAAAACGTTAAATCGAGCTGAAAAAGAAAAAAAAAGATTTGCACACAAGGGGGATTGAACCCAAGTCGCCAGCATGAAATTCCAACACACTAAATATTACGCTATCGGGACATCTATTCTAAATCTACTTGTATATATTTACAAAACAGTGCTTCTGTCTTAAAAGTATGAAAGGTAGGTCACTATTTAAAATTTAGCGCCAAACGCCACGATTTAATCTTCGCGTCTTTTCTTTGGGATTTTCTATTTAATAGTTGTGATAGCTTTAATAAAATTATAAAATAACATTTTTATAGCCTATTCGAGGTTTAGAAAGTATATTAAACACATTCTACAAATTCCACATTGTATTAATGCATTTAATGCTAAAGCCGTGAAACGGTTATGACTTTTTAACTTTTTAAAATTTACTTGGCATACCCAAAGTTAACTATCCCGATTAGTTAATCGAAAAAGGTTGAAATGTTTCGCCGAAAAACATGGCTCGCATTAAGACGGTCAAGGAATCAAATATCATTCATGCTCCATAACTTTAAAAAAAAGGTTGTCTTATTTTTGTCTTATTTATTAGTTTAATATGACTCAAAAGTGCATAGGAAAACCAGTGGTTTAGATTTAAACTTACAATATTTATTGATATTCTTTTATGAGAAAGTATTACTTATAAGTATGATTAAAGATATGTTTTTATGAGGTGCACAAAAGATATTAGGTATCAAATTTCATTTGCACATTTAGTCTTTTCTTTTTTCTACTTTGAAAACCAGCCAAAACGAATTATAGAAAAGGTTAAATTGAAATAGAACTGCAACGTTACTACGACGTGACAATCCAAGTATTTCTTTACATTTCATTTATCCTTATGTTACTTTCGTTCAAGCAAACGCTCGGCTGCCTCCGTAAACCTCTATCGCGAAATGTCGGCGTTGACTGAGACAGCCGCCATTTTGGACCCGCTTCAGATTTTTGAATGCTAATATCTAAAGTTTAGATTTATTATTATTCAAACAAATTATATATTAAGCATCAATAAAAAAAAGTCTCTATTACCATTTACAAAAAAAAAAAAAAAAGAAAAATAATGAAAAACAAAAAAGTTTAAAAATACAACTTTTTATCTTCGCATCTCCAAACGACAGGAAGTATTGACGACGAACGAAACGTCGCGTCCTTGATAGTATTTATTACGATCTATAATCCCTGAAAATTTCATGTTGATATCTTTTGCCGTTTTTGAGTTTAACCGTAGACAAAATGTCATTTTAATTTCAGAAAATTGTCCTTAACTTGGCACCGGAAGCAAATTTCCAAAAAATCTCCCGGATATATGAAATTCATGTAACAACACATCCTTTCTGAAACTTTCACGTCATTTCATCCAATAGTCTTTGAGAAATTGCAAAATTAGAAAGTCAAAAAAAAAAATAAAAAGAATAACAAGAAACAGTAGAATCGCTATAAGGTCTTCCGTGAAGACAGAAGACCTTAATAATAAAAGTGAAAAAGAAACCGAAGAAAAACAATAAGGTCTTCCGCTGAAGACGTAAGACCTTAATAAGAAACAGTAGAATCACTATAAGGTCTTCCGTGAAGACGGAAGACCTTAATAATAAGAAACAGAGTAAAAACAATATGTTCCCCAACTTTGTTTGGGGAACATAACTAGTCGTGCGTTCTTTAAATTTACATATTCTTTCACTGTTTCCACAATTAACGTACAAAACATTCCTTACAATTGTTGTTGGTAGCCCTCCGTGCCCTGATATTGAGATCATTTTAGCCTACATTACCGACCAGACCCAACCTGACACAAAGCAGTCCAAGAGCAGTCCCGGGGACTGCTTTCTGGGACTGCTAAAGCACTATATAGTTTTCTCCCTTGATTACTTCATCCTCTACAACCATTTGTAGACCCGCGGAGTGAGGTGGTCATCTTTACGTTGCAGGTTCGGGACATGTACATGATTTCATTTTTTTTTTTTATTTGAGATACAAACAATATATAAGTTTTATATAAAAGATGTTCTTTTCCCATTGCTCTAATGAGTATCAGACAACTTAAAATGAATGCATGATGTTTTGTGCAACATCTTCATAATTTACTCAAGTGAAATAATTTAACAACTCCCTCACCCATGTAAACTTTTATAACTTATCATGCCTATAGGTCTTATAGATATTGATGGCATTAGGTAAGCTTTTTGAAAAGCTGTAACTTGTAAACTTTAAAACTGACTCTTTAACTGGTTCCCTAGCGGAAATGATTTTTGTCAACTCGTACATAAAATGTCAGGGTTTCGAGACAGTAAAAATGCGATATCTGAGGAAATATTTCAATAATGAACTTAAAAATGAATAGGCTTTGTTCTTTTTTACTGCCACACAAGTATGTAAACGCTGAGAACGGATAATGCAAAGGTTTTCTATAAATCTTGCCCACTAGGTGTAACAGACACACTAACACACTAACACACACACATACGCACATTCACGATGCTATATCCCCTCCGCAACTGGTTGCGCGAGGGAATGATAATTTGTGAAAAACTAAAATTGTTTCTGTCTACTTACATGTAGTTGATATTTGATATTAATTATTGCAGTGGTTATTTAAAGCTATATTTACATAATCTACATCTACGTCTTCATAAATCTATGAGTAAAACTACGAGCGCAATGCCACAGTAGCATAAAACCCTTCAAAAGCCTAAGAATATTTCTACTAATTAAGAATTTAGAAAATGAGCGATGTAGGTCACAAATTCATATATGTGAAAGCATTAAGATTGATATTAATATTTTCTAATAATGAACAAGTTTACGAATTTTTGCTGTAAAAAAGTAATTTTAATAAATTCTGATATAATATCGAAAAAAAACACACGAGGTGATTTAGAAAAAAAAAACCATAAGAAACAGAATATTCACAAAGAAGTAATTTCAACAAAATCATTCAGGGCCTTATCAACAGATAATGCTTATAAAATTTCCTTACATTTTTAGATAAGTTCTCCACACTGACTGATGACGAGGTGTACGTGTTATTCTGTTTTCTGTGTTCTGACTCCGGTCCTCCTGACTTCACTGACACAGAGTGGCTGGACTTACTTAATGAGATACGACAGAGAGTGTACCGTAATAAGAATCCTGTAACACGTGAGGAAGCACAGCAGACTCTGGACAGACTGAAGTTACGTGATTACCTTTGGGAAAATCAGGACAAGATAACGGAGGACACAAAGGATGAGACAATGTATAGGATAGCATCAATAAAACGTGATATACCATTCATTTACAGTAGTTATGACACAGCCAGTATGTATCTGAGATCATACAGATACAACAGAAAACCTGGAGAGAAGTGTGTCAGTGAACTTGGCTGGGATCACTTACTGATACTCCGTCTACAGATGAACATACTGACTCACGTCACCATGGAGGACATGAGTATATATAATATGATACCCCATTTTTGTAAGTCAGTGTAAAAAAAATTAATATTTTTTTCGAATTCTGAAATATCATCTGGAGATTGATTTCTGGAGATTGGTATATATAAATATAAGAACGTCAGCATTACTTTTAATTAAATTTTCAGAACATGACTAAATGATTTTATTTGATCAATAAAGCTTATATTGATGCTACAATGTATACATACACATGCTATGTATCATTTTGTACATGTATAAATAAAAATTTACGGTCTTTTTATTTAAGTTCACTTGTGGTTAGATAATTATATATGTATCTTTATATTGTTTTACCTATTTTTACTAAGTCTAGTTTCAAATGATAAAATTCAAACAGTTAATGCTTGTTTTTTTTTTTTTTATTACAGTTAATGTTTCAAATAACATCCTAAAGGACAATAAAGATAAAAAAGCAAAATTATTAACGGATCTAAGAAAAGAAGGGGAAGTCGTACATTACAGAGGAAGATCACAGGACAGTGTAGATCACGTGACGTGGCTCTGGAGATACAAGAACTGGGCTAGACCTGACATCGTGAGATCCTGTATAGGTTTACATCCACACTGGGACATTTACATCATCGACAACAAAGCTTACAAGAAAACAAGTAAAAACATTAGATATTAAGTTTTATGTTGGTTTATAACGTGCCATTTCTTTACCACTAGATAAATTTATGCTGGTGTCCCTATTCATGAATTTGACTTGAGAACAGGCTCAATACATGAATCTAACCCCTCCCTCCTCCCAAAGTAAGTCAAACGTACACCAACGATATAAAATAAGCTGATCATTTGATTTTCATATAAATCGATAAACTTAAGTCAATTTGATAAACGTTTATAGATATTAATACATGACCTACTAACCAAGATCACCATTAAAGATGCGTTTATGAAAATGAAACACTGATGCATCCGTATAGCAAGGTCAAAGATCAAAGTTTAAAGTACAAAATAGTTGTTATGCAAAGCAAGGTCTTTTCACAAGGAATACAACTATGAAATACCGTATATATGAAAGTCATAACATCACTACATAGGCAATTTAGCCACATATGATCCACATATGCATTGCCTTTCATATGAGGATCATATGTGGCTCATATGAGAATCATATGTATATATAATCATATGAGAATCGTATGTGGCTAATCATATGAGAACCATATGTTTACACATATGTATATCATATGATCATATTTACATATGATTCTCATATGAAAGGCCCTGCATATGAGAATCATATGTATATTTTGACAGTTGTCATATGAGAATCATATGAAACTGATCATATGAGAATCATATGAAACCATATTCACTAATTTGCCCTTGTTATACTCAGGTAAAAATCATGAATATTTGGACAGTGATCATATGAGAATCATATGAAACAGTTATCATATGAGAATCATATGAAACAGTGTTCACTAATTTGCACTTTGGTATATGCAAGTAAAATTGCAAATTTAATAATATATATCAATTATAGTAATTTAAATTTACATTAATTCAAAAGAATTTGTTAGCAATTACTTATGAAAAGTTCTACTCTGTTCAACACCCCCCCTTTCCCCCTCAAAAAGTTCCCAATTTTTATGCCCCCGTAAACGAAGTTTCGGGGGTATATAGTTTTTGTCGTGTCCGTCTGTCTGTCTGTCTCTGTCTCTCTGTTTGTCTGTTTGTCCGCAAAAACTTTAACCTTGTCCATAACTTTTGATTTAGTGGAGTTATGACTTTCATATTTCACATGTGTATTTCTTGTGACAAGACCTTTCTTTGGGTACCACCAAATTTGACCTCTTGACCTTGACCTTGGAGTTTGACCCACTTTTACATGAAAATTTTATAATTTTACTTTGGCCATACCTTTTGAACAGTAGACACTAGGACATTTATTCTTCACATACTAATTGTTTGTTGAAAGACTTTTTACTGGATACCAACAACCTTGACCCTTTGACGTTGACCTTGTAGATTTCTGTACTTGTGAAAAAACTTTAACCTTGGCCATATCTTTTGAACGGTAAGGGATAGGGCTTTCATACTTCATATATGTAATTCTTGTGAGAAGACCCTTCATTGGATACCAAGATTTTTGACCCTTTGACCTTGACCTTTGAGATTGACCTACTTTAAAAAAGCAAAACTTGACCCTTACTTTTAAAGATTAGGGCTAGTGCTTTCATACTTTACATTTTTGATCTTTATGACAAGACCTTTCATTTGATAACAATAACGTTGACCCTTTGACCTTGACCTTGGAGTTTGACCTACTTTTAAAAAATTGAACATTGACCATAACTTTTGAACAGTAGACACTAGGACATTTATACTTCACATATGTAATGTTTGTTGAACCAACAACCTTGACCCTTTGACCTTGACCTTGTAGATTTCCTTACTTGTGAAAAAACTTGTAACCTTGGCCATCACTTTTGAACGGTAAGGGATAGGGCTTTCAAACTTCATATGCTTAATCCTTGTGAGAAGACCCTTTATTGGATGCCAAGAATTTTGACCCTTCGACCTTGACCTTTCATACTGGCCTTCTTTAAAAAAAACAAACATTGACATAACTTTTAAATAGTTAGGGCTATTGCTTTCATACTTTACATATTTAACTCTTGTGATAAGACCTTTCATTTGATAACAAGAACTTTGACCCTATGACCTTGACCTTGGAGTTTGACCTACTATTAAGATTAGTCTTGGCCATAACTTCTGAACGGTAAGGGCTAGGGCTTCCATACTTTCCATAAGTATTCGATGTTGCAAGAGCTTTCATTTGATACCAATTACATTGACCTTTTGACCTTGACCTTGGAAAGTTTTGTTTATTGAAAAAACTTAAACGTTGGCTTATTTTCAAATTTCACAATTGTTTTCCAGTGAGAATATCCTACTTTTGTTACCAATTATTTAAATTTGCATTTTAAAAAAGTTTAATCTTTACTATGTTGCCATACGGGGACATCTGTGTTTCACAAACACATCTTGTTTCTGTAATAATGCATTTTGCAGATAAAATTGATAAAAAATAAATTAATTTGCTTTTTATTTCAAATCTTTTGGGTTTGGTTTATTACTTGAGTAAAATCAAAATCATTCCGTATTTTTTTTTCCGGACCGGTTTTGACTTTTATCGGATGAAAGTGTACGTCATGTTTGACGTCACTGCTGCAGCAGAAGTGCTGGGTGTTGGAAAAAGCATAGACCTAAATCGAAGGGACTGCTGACTTATGACGTCACAATCACTATCTTCTTGTGATTGCAGCGCCCTCACCGGGATGTATAGAAACAGACTTCCTGTAATGAAATCAATGTTGTCACATCACGGATTTCTGCATTCTTTAAGAAAATAACAAGAAATTTGAAAAATCAATCACTTATCTAAGCTGTCTTCGACGAAATGATCTCGATTTACTACTTCGGAAGTTATAACTTTACGCTATGGAGTCGATGGAAACGTTTTAACTGCAGACATCAGCTGACTTCGACGTGACATCTCTTGAATGCTGTCGATTATATTTTACGGTAGTACATGTTTATCTTCTTAATTATTTTACAAAATAAGGACACAATTTATCTACCAATATTTGAACAACGACCAATTTTAGATCTTCGCTGATTTGATATAAATAATAAATACATTGTGAAGTGCCGTTTACCATAAGTGCTTG